GTGATCATATCGTGTTACTCATGACGTGAACAGATAAAATCCTTGAGTATATTGTCCCTACCTTACTTGAGAACAGTCAAGATTACCTGGAGTGAAGTTATCTGAGCCCTGGTCAAGGTTACCTGAAGTGAAGTTACTTGAGTAAATTGTCTACCTTAAACATAACATTTACAAACTTATCACGTGTTTGGACTTTTGCAGCACGTATGTGCAACTTTGGTGGAACTTATGCAGAATTTCTGTGCTGCGTGTTTTAAAAATAAATATAATAATAAAGACTGGGTTAAAATCGATTTAATCAACCTTGGATCGATTTAATTTAAATTAGGGAAAATCGATTCGTAGGGCATGAGATCAATTTTTCCCCATGACATGAACCTCAGTAGTCTTGTGCGTGACAAAGCTGAGGTGTGTTTCTACGCTTTGTGTCACTCCTGGCTTGGTGTAGGTTTGTTGTTCAGTGCCAACGTTAGCTTCTGACAACAAGTTTCTGGAGCAAAACAAAAGAAACTAAGGACTGACTAACATTACCAGCTGATTCTCTGCAGGACTTAAAGATAACAGAGACCATGCTGACTTTTGTTTGCAAAGATTTGCACTCGTACACAGTAGTGGAAAACAAAGGCTTCAAGCAGCTCGTTCAGGTGCTCGGACCAACACCACTGAATGTAAACATCTGACTGAAACTGTTCTCCACAGCATGTATAAATGTGTGAAAGACGACGTTCTAACATCGTTTAGTTTTAGTTACAAATATTATTATTTTTACACTTTAAGAAACAGATTAACAAAGTTTATAGTGATGGAATATTGTAGTTGAAATGTCCTTTTGTTTTCTTGAATGTGACAACACAAGGTAACAGAAACATTACAAATATAAAATATTCATACTATCAAAGGGGTGGGCAGAGGTATACTTATATTAGCCCACCCCTTCTCCTGCAACCTTATTCCATCACTTCTTATTCATCAAGAAAATTATTCTTAATTTCTTACAAATTCGAATTAAATCAAATTGTGATTAATAGATTCAAAACCATGTGAATTGAAATTAAATTGATTTAGAGAATAGGCCACGATACCCAGCCCTAAAAATGTACATGTGCTTATACATTGTATACAAGGTATAAAATAATGTATAAGTAGTATATCAATGATGTGGGGCCAGAGGTTTGTTTGCTGGCATCATCTGAGCTCAGGTATATTTATATAGTAACATGTTTCAATGTGAGATTACCAGTTAGTGTTTCTCCTCATCTGACATTGACAGATGGATTTACGCAGCTTTAGCAAAATTGTTTGCTCTGCACCGGTCCATTGTGGTGARCAGGAAGCTGAGCTACAAGGCAAAACTCTCTATTTGCCAGTTGATCGACATTCCTACTCTCAACCATGATCATGAACTCTGAGTAGTGGTAAAAAAATAAAAGATCTCAGATACAGGCGGTCAAAACGAGTTTTGTCTTCAGGGTAGCTGGAATCTTCCTTAGAGACATGCTGAGAAGTTCATTTCTCTAGGAGAGACTCAGAGTAGAGCAGCTGCTCCTCCACATCGAGAGGAGCCAGTTGAGGTGGTTCATCTAGTAAGGATGCCTCCTGGAYGCCTCTCAAGGGAGGTGCTTTAGGCATGTCCAGCTGGTAGGAGATCTCGACAAAGACCCAGGACATGCTGGAAAGACTATGTCTCTAGACTGGTGTGGGAAYGCCTTGGAGTCCTCCCAGAAGAGCTGGAAGAGGTKGCTGTGGAAAGAGAGGTTTAGACCTCCCTGATCAAACTGCTGCCCCCAAGACCTGACTCTGGAACAAGAAGATAGATGGATGGTGTTCTTTTTAAATGTCAAATCTTTAATGCCACTGGTAAATATAATAAAGAAATCAAAGATGTTTTCCATAAGAGGACAAAATGTCTGTAGTTGATGCTGCTTAGTTTGGTTTTTTTTTTAAAAGGGCTTTGTTTCAGGCTTCCAGTGTTGCCTTATAAGGTCTTTACAGCTTGACAGCCCTTCATGCTCTTTGAGGTTGCGCTGGTCTGGCTTCCAGTCTGTTGAGGCTTTAAGAATGAATCTCAAGAGGAAAAACTAAGCTTTTAATTGTCTATCAACTGGGTTGTGGTAATCAGAGATTTACAAGCACCAATTTATCATAACTTACACTCGACTGAGGAAAGAATTCATACTTTTGCTTATGTAAGTGATTTTTACACAAGAGGTTTGTATAAGTTCACTACTTAAAATATAAAATTCAACTACAGTATATTTTGCAACCACTTTTTATGTAAAAACTTGTGTAAACAAACACAGACCACAAGCATTCTTGAGTCATAGTATAAGCCTTGCATCATTGTTGAAGTTACTGAAAATAAAACTGGACTGGATGTAAATTTATTGTTTTATTAAATTCTACTTAACCATAATCTATACTTAGCACAAAATGTAAGTAAATTTGTGTCCGTTAATTTTTTCTTTGTAGTAGGGGTGTCCCGATACAACTTTTTCCACTTCTGATACATTACCAATATTGCTGCCTTGAGTATTGACCAACACTGATATAGACCCAATACAATATTAGAACCAATCACACATATTTTTATAACTTTTTTGTAGCGTGGAATCTTRAAAAGTCTTGATCAGGTCAACTGTTGTCAACAACAATGGGTATAAAGACTGGTCCCATTTATTTTTAACCAATGGGCTACATAGGTGTTATGATTTGTGTCTGTGCATATGATTTAGTCTAAGTTTTCTGTCTTTTCCTCCTGTTTTCKTCCTCATGTCTGCCTTTGCTGTAGCCCCGCCCACTCACACCTGATCCCCATGTTTCTTCCCCAGGTGTTTCTTGTTTTACCTCATTAGTTCTTCCTTTATATTCAGTCCTTTGTCCTCAGTGTTTGTCAGATCCTTGTTCTCTGTTTACTGTTTGATGTTCATTTTCATGTTCATGTTCCTGTTCCTGTCCAAAGCCCTTGTTCTTGTTTGCTGCCACGTCAGCCCCTTTTTGTTTTTGTTTTAATAAATCACTTTTTTGCCACCTCATTCAGTTCAGCATCTTGGGGTTCAAACCAACCTAGCTCTATCGTAACAAGTTCTTAACTTAAACATAAGAATATTGTACAATTAAATTTAATAAATAAACAATAAAATGGAAAACCCTGAAAAACTACCTCCATAAATCCAATAAAAATAAAATATAATTTTAARGAGTAAAATAACTATTGAATGTCAAGTTTTTTATGCTGGATCCAAGYGCTGCTGGCTAGAAAATATGAGTGGACCGCTTGTATCGGAGTGCTAATATCAGAGATTTTAGATGCAGGCCGACATAATCAGATATTCATTTTTTAGATAATATTGGACTGATATTGATATTGAATTTGGACATCTCTACTTTGTAGCATCGATTCTTCTTGGCAAAAAAAATCTTAGACCGTTGGAAAGCCTGTTAATTTCCCTTTTTTAAATAGTGCCACATTTGTAAGGATCATGCATTTGTGGGATGAAAAGTAGAGTATGTGGGTTGCACACATGAAATATTTGCCAAATCTTCTCTGCCAAACAGCTTATTCTGCTATTGTTAGTGCCTCTTGTTTTGAGCTTCTGGTAGCCACAGTTGCTGCCAATCAGGTGTAGCTATGGGATTTATTGTCAGGAAGCTTTGTTACAACAAAGAAATGATCTACCAATCACAAACTTACTGACTTTTTTGTGAACTACTGGGACATTGACTGACCCTATTCACACCTAATACCATTTCTTTCAGGTGTTGATGTTGATTTTTGTGGCTCTTACCTTGCTGTTGTATGTTCAAAGATTAAAATTTAAAAACATTTAGTTTCAGTTTGTTATTTTAAGTATAAAGAAATGCCAAGTTACACAGACTGATGGCGAGTTGGAACTATATGTAGGCGGGAATTTCATATTAATTGTAGGCAACTGGCTTCAAAGATTTAACTTGGCAATACTTAAAAACTCACTACAAAGCTTTAATTATAGGAATTAAAGTCAGTTAGGACCCTATAAAATCAATTTAATTTTTTCCCAACTTCCATTTCTATTTTTCTAAATTCCCCTTTTTCAAATTTTTTTCTGAGTACTATATTTTCATTCTAGCCATATTTTTTGACCTATAAAGTGTGTAATTATAAAATGATTAAAAATTAACAAACTAATTTATGTATCCTGGTTGTACAGAATGGTGTTTTATAAATACTGTTGTGAAACTGACCATGAGTAAATCGATTAAATATGTTGACATTTTGAATTTGTGTTAGGACATCAGTGTAGTTTTAGCTGCCTTCAGTAAGACTCATGTATTATAATGGCTGAACATGTGAGAAAGGATGTGTTAAATAAATCCTGCAGACCTGTCAGTAAAAACTTTTTTTTTCTCTGTAGGCTCCAAACAATGGCCCTCCTCCGCTGCCCACCTCCTCACTTCCAGAAGGATACTATGAGGAGGCAGTTCCTTTAAGTCCAGGGAAGGCTCCGGAGTACATTACCTCCAGTAAGAAACTTCTGTTTTACTGAACTGCTCTGAAAGGCAAAGTTAACCAATGATGCTTTTGCTTGTCCCTGTGTGTCTTTCTGTTAGCAAAATATCCCATGTACCTCTGTGTGATTTTAATGAAATGTTTACCTTTTAAAATCAACCCAATTCAAGATGGCCACCACAGCTAATCAACCCCAGAAAACACACCACACAAATTGTTACAATCAGTCACTGTTACAGATGTTGGGCCAAAAATTGATGTAGTAGCAGCAGCTGAGCATCATCTCCAACACATACTCCAAACACCACATATTACAAAAAAGTTGGGCTATAAACAGCGTTAACAGTCTGAGACAAACCTGCTTTTCTGTTAGCAAAATATTTCATAAACCACTGCTTGTATTTGAATAGAACCCTCAGAAAGCCATCACTGGAAGGATGTAGATGCACAGGGTGAGTCAAAAGGCTCTGGGCACCTTTTCTTCAGAAAGAAAAGGGGAAATGACATATCTGAATACTCCAGCAAGTCATAGGTAAGGGGACCTATCTTTGAAATAAATCTTGCCCTTGGTCCAATATGGCTGCTTTCAAGATGGCGGCCATCTTCTGGACAAAGCCTAAAAGAAAAGGTCTCCTCACCCATTGTTTTCTGGAGTATTCAGATATTTCATTTCATCTTTTCTTTCTGAAATAATAGGGTGTTCGGAGACTTTTGACTCTGTGCCCTGTGCATGAACTTTTAAGGTCAACCCCAATTCAAGATGGCCGCCACAGCTAATCAACTTTAACTAACAGAATAATGGCTCCAATACACTCTACAAATACTGAATTAGAGTTTGATGTGGTAGTAGCTGAGAATCAATCACAACACATTAGGCATGGGCCGAATACCGGTTTCAAGGTATACCGTGATATGAAAAAGTCATGGTTTTAAAACTACTAAAAGCATTTTTTGTTTATTTTTCCTCCGGTCTGTGCTGCTGCAGACTTTTCCCCTGCGACCCCTCCCCGTCGCACTCCCGCAGAGCTGCCTGTCGGCACTCGCAGCTCTGCGGGGTTGTGTGGTGGCTGAAGAACAGAGTTTCCCAAACTTTTCCCCTGTCTAAAATAATAAATCCAACTATATGAAAATACTTAGGATGCTGTAATGACAACAACAATGTGGACCGTGGTAACATGATCGCAGCTCCAATTAAAGTTATGCTATCTTGAAATGAACAAGCTAACTTTAGCATCCGATTGTGAAACATCACCGTGTTGCTGTGGTTTAATACGCTGATCACAACTTGTCTGCAAAACTGTTTGAGTTGTTGGATTGTGTATTTGATAAGTTTTAAGTGAAAGGCGATAAAACTGAATGCCTCCTTTAGCCGAGCAGCTCGTTAGCTGAATGTGCGTTTCATAAACACGCATTCATAGTTGTGATTTCTTGTTTCTGTGTGCATATAATTAAATACTTTTTACATCAAAAACCCTTCTGAAATTTAAAACACAATAAAAACTCCCAACGCAACGTGATACATTACTTCAATAAAAAGACTTGACGTRCAGTATACACTAATTTGTCTTAAATAATAAAGCAATAGAAAAGCAGTTATCTTACTAGATGTAAATTTTATCAGGATAATTGAATTACATTAGATGCTAAAAATCACAAGTACAGATGCACACAGGTAAATAAAATTTTAACATATCAACTCTGAGATCTAAAAACAGCTTCCAACGTTAAAGTTGAAAATGATAATAGAAAAGTTATTTTCTTTTTTTGTTTTGAAATACAAATTTTAAAACAAAATCTTTAGAGCTGTAATCATAATACAGTCATACCGTGAAACCGGGATATTTTAGCCCAAGGTTATCATACCGTCATATTTTCACACCGTCCCATGCCTACAACACATACTTAGAGCGATAAGATGATACTTAAGATCTTAGACTGTTTTTCAGGATATGATTAAATTGGCTTTTTRTGAATGTAAGCTGCTTAAAGACTAAAACTAGGCCATTGTTAGAATTTCTGACTGTAAAACTATACTGTCAGTATTGAGGATGCAGCTAAATGCAAACAAGTGATTTCATCTTTCCAGGAATATCTAGAAATGATAAAAAAAAAACTTTGTATGTTCTCACAGATTATGACTCGGATGCCATGAGCTCTTCCTATGAGTCATATGATGATGAAGAGGAGGACGGGAAGGGCCAGAAGATGCACATCCAGTGGCCCTCTGAAGAAGCTTCCATGGATCTGGTGAAAGATGCTCGGATTTGTGCTTTTCTGCTTCGCAAGAAGCGCTTCGGCCAGTGGACCAAACTTCTGTGTGTCATTAAAGACAACAAACTCCTGGTAGGAGATATTTGTTGGGTGTTAATTTTGGGATTCAGTTATTTGTTTACTGAAATGTGTTGGAGTTTTATTGGAAAAGATGACCATGCTCTGATAACACCCTCTCACAGTAACACAGAAAACTGCAACAAACCACGCAAGCTGTACCATGCAAAGAGGTTTAATATCAGATCATGTAGCATTTTTTCACACTGATATGTTGTTTCTGAAAAAAATTTTAATAAGCCCGGAAAAGTATTTAAATACTTTTAAGCTGAGTTTCAGTACGCAGCAAAAGAGGGTTCTTAAATTTCCAGGGACCCAGCTTATGGCACATGAGCGTGGTTGTGCAGGTGGTCTTATGATTCTGACTCTGGCCTATCTGGTGGGGAACCAGGCTAGATGGGCCAGTACAGTGCCTGGAACAGCCTTTACTCSGGCCTTTAGTGCCTCAGGGCTCAGTGATGGTGAGGGCTTCTGCCTCTGCTGTTTCTGGGTCTACAGGCCCTGTGCAAGTGTGGTCACTTGACCCCTCCCCATCAGGGATCGGTCAGAGCCTCACCAGTGCTGGGATCTCCGGGTGATGAAGACACCGACATGTTGTTGGTGTCCTCTGATGGAGAAAAAGATCCATATCTCTGTGGTTTTAGGGATGATAGAATTATGTGTCAAAAACCCACCTGCAAAAATCTGATTTGTGTACCTAAATTTAGATGTGCGTACCTGCAGAAAATATGATTACAGACTCATAATTCATCATTTATTTGTGTGTTTGTTTTTTTTAATAGTGCCTCTTGTTTTGAGCCCTAGAAACACTTCCTCATGTGTCTTTCTTATTGACACTGGTTCAGTGGTATTGAAGATGCAACTTTAAAAGAAAAGAAGCATATTTTTACAGTATGGCAATCATATCCAAAAGTAGTGAAAATTCAGTAGTATTTTGGATCGTGTTCGGGTAGAAGCATGTTCGAGTTATCCCGTTTAACTTGAACCATTTTCTTTTTCTTTAGTGTTACAAATCTTCTAAGGACCAAACCCCACAAATGGAGCTCACCTTGTCAGGATGCAGCATCACCCACATCCCCAAAGATGGCAAGAAGAAGAAGCATGAACTGAGGATTGTCCACCAGGGGGCAGATGCCTTGGTGCTGGCGGTGCAGAGCAAAGAACAAGCCGAGGAGTGGCTGAAGGTAAACATTTTGAACCTAAAAGCTATGTTGCATTTATCTCTGAAGGTGGAACTCAAATCTCTAAATGGTGTCACATTAAACCATGTGCCGGGTGCAAGTTACAAAATCAGTGGGATGAAGCTAAATATTAGCTCCAATTATAGAGTCCTCTATTGTTGTTGGTAACGACGATGTTAAATGTTTAAGGTGCGTGGTATGCCTGTGGCGCTGTAATTTACCACCATCATACATCAAAAACTGGAAACAAAGTGTGAAGCATGTGCATAATGCTAGCACCCTAAGTGTCAAATGCTAACACAAAGAAAAGGACACTCATATGTCAGAGGTTGGTTTGAAGGCGTGGATAAGATGTTTTCAAAAGTTTTTTTGTTTGTTTTTTGTTCCTACATTATACAAGGTATTTTATTTTTATTTTATTTTGTTTTAATTTGGAATACATTTTTACTGGTTTTGGAGCTCCTAAAATAGCTTTTTTTCCAATGCAGGGCTGAAAAAAATAAACCTTTGTGTATTCACGTAACATGTTAACTGTGTGGACAAGTCTTTGGTTCTTATATCTCTCACAGAGTCCTTTAGACCTGTATGATCCAAAGATCCCTCTGGTAGTTGATGCTGACTAATGAAAGTGAATGAGATGTTTAAAAATAGTTAAAAGCACTGCCTCTTGTGACTGATTGAAAGACTTAGTTATTGGTAAAAACTGCCTACCAGAGTGCTGCACATTCAGTAGGTCACTAAAATGGTGTTTGTATCTTTGTATCAGATATTTCGGTTTCAGTTTGATTGTTAATAAAATGAGTTGCTTTGTTTCTTGCAGCTCTGAATGAAGTAACTTTGTATTTCAGAGCCTCTTCTTGATTTTTCTTTTGTTTTGAAAAGGTGTTTCTGCCATATTCTCTTTGATGTGAAGATACTTGCTTTAGTCCCTCACTGTTGTTTGGGTTTTCTAGTGTTTGAGCCTGAGGGAAGTCTCAGCTGGTCTTTGGCTGTCAATTAAGCCCCCAGAGCCCCCCACTCACCTCTGCTCTCCTGAGAATCTTCAGGAATGTATTGTTTGATCTTGACCTGAGCTCTATTTTAAGACCTACTTCGGCATGTTTGGCTGACAGCAGTCTTGTATTGTTTCTGCACCTTTCCTGCACATTGACCACTGTGTTTCTGTGTTTATTTTAAATGCTAAATAAAATATATTCATTTGACCCCTGGGAATACTGGTCTTATTGTTGGCAATGTTTGCTTTCTTTACTTGATGTTCCAACTCTGCTGTTTTCATGGCAGACAGACTTATCCAGTTTGTTTTTTGTCTTGATTAAATTACAATTCGTCATTGTTTATTTATTAACTATCGTGTTCAGGTAACTCAGTTGGAGCCAGAATTTCTGCAGGGACTAGCAGACAGCTCCTTGAAAATAAACAACACTCTGTAGAGTCCAGACAATGGTAAGGCCTGCAGTAATTGTTACTCGGGTCTTAGCGTAAATGGGTCAGTTTTTCTCATACCTGCTGTTGTTGAGTATTGTTTTCTGTTTGAATATCACTCGTTCAAGACTTTTCTTAGATTCCACATTACAAAATAAGTAATAAACGTATATAATTTGTGCTGATATCGGTATCGGACAATATCGGTATCGGCCAATCCTCAAGGTTATAATATCGGTATCGTATCGGAAGTGAAAAATCTGTATCGGGACACCCCTAATTTTCAGTCATGTTGACCTTCTTCCTGGAGGTTCTCAGTTTGCCTGTGTAAGTTGCCAAAGTGGGTATAAAGGAGGCTGAGGTGAGTAGGTTGTATTTGGTGGTGGGCAGTAAAATAATATGCACATGAATATTCATGCATATGAATTCCATTTTTTGAGCTGCTTACATAAAATAGACTGTGTTTGAAACACGACCGCATAGCTCACTAGTTGCAAACACTGTTCAGTGAGACTGCAAATGAATATGGGTCTATTTTCTTACAGTTCTGAGCTGTAAACTAGTCACTATCGTCTCCAACAGTTGTAGTCTATTGAGTTCCTGGCTTTAGGCTATGAAATATTCCACCCGTTATCATTTAATTTTTCAGTTTCTTTTGTTTTTCCTCCCTCTCCCTGGAGCTCTTCCCCTGCCAAGAAGCCAAAAACTTTAATAAGAGTCATTCTTGAGTTTCATATTAACGGTTTAGGTAATGAAAACAGAGTTTGTTTTCCTCCACCCGAGTGAATTTGTGTTCGTCAGACAGAGGTGGGGGTGAAAAGAGAAAGTGAAGAGAAAGGAAAGGACAGTGGAGGGTGAAGTCTGAAGCCTGAGTACCTGAGGCATTCAAAGCCTGCTGGTTACAGTAATGACTCTGCCAGACTGTCTGCTGCTGGTGTGTTTATGGAACACATGTCCACCTCATGTCCTGACTTCATCTCTGAAAAACCTTCCCTCTTCTGCTTTTAAAAAAAACATCCTGACCTCGTTCTTTTTTTCCCTTTTTCTCACAGAGTAATGCAACAGAGAGCAGCAACTTAGATGATCTTGTTGATAATTTTATAACCTTAATGCAAATCTCTCTTAATGAAATTGCCCCTCTAAAAAAGAAAGTAGAAAATCAAAGGAAGCCGACTCCTTGGTTTAATTCAGCGTTACGTTCTTTAAATCAATCACATCAATCAAACAATCATCCAATCATCCAATTCTAGCCAATTAACCAATGTTGAAAAGATGTTATTGAATTAATGTTTTGTCATGGTTGAATTCTAATGACTGAAATACCAACATCTAATTAATATTGAATCAATATTGATAAAGTATCAATGGTCGAAAACCTAACATTGTTTCAACAAGTAAGTCACCAACCACTTTTTGTATAATCTCAACATGGATTCATTATCATGCCTAACCATAGACTGTGGCCGAGGTTGGCCACACTCTACGTGGGCCACAGGCTGTTCGGGTCGGCTGCATAAACAGCTGTGAAATGAGAAGGTCTAGTCTACGGAAGATGTATGTTTGTGTGACCACGCGCTGCCTCATTACCATGGTATTTCTCTTTATATCACATCGCTTCAGTTTTTTCAAAGTATAACTTCACAAAATTCAGTTTTAATATAAAAACATTACAAATAAATAAATAAAAAGCATTAATTATTTAGGTTTATCTCCAGTATCGGTACTTGTAACTGTATTATATTTAAAGTCACATTGCAACAAAAGTTTCTTTAGCGAAGTTTTTAACGTACTAAATTTCCAAGCTCCGCCATAAAAGAAACCAAACTCTCCCGTAAAATTTAAAAAATTACCCCGTCTTTGTTTTTCTGTCTAGTTTGCTGACGGCACAATGAATTCTAAGATATTGTCGGCCACTTGGGACACACAGTTGCAGCCTACGTTTTTGAGGTTTTGTCAGCCGCATTAGTAGGCGCCTATGAGTTGGGACAGCCTGCGGGCGCGGGGCAGTGATGTAAACGTCCAACAAACATGGCCAACGTTGGCTGCAACCTATGAAATGAGACAGCCATTGTCTACACAGCCGTGTGCAGTTAGCATAGCCTTAGTACTTTTAGCTACGCCTGGTGTTGTTCCTCCACAAGGACTGGATGGTACAACAGATTGAGTCTATACTGAGCATGAAGTGCTGAGCTGAGAGCAGATCTCTTCTCTAACAGAAATAACCAGAATCTTTTAGAAGCAAACACAGGCAGACATGTGTCTCATGTGGCTGAAGGCTCAGAGGACAGGACCCATAAAAACTGGCCCAGGGGTACTTCTCCACTGAGAGGTGYTCTGTACCTGTATCTGGTTAGAAAGCAGTAACAACACATCAGTCAGCAGTTCATCAGATCTGGTAGAATTAAAAGTCATATTGAAGTACCAGAAAGGCCTGTCTAGAGTCTCAATTTGCTATGTTGTACACATCAGACCCAGGATAGATTCCCCTCCATCCCCCACCCCTGCCCCCAGCCTCAGAGTCTCCTGAGCCAGACCCATGGAGCCACAGCCTGTCATTTCCCCCCACCAAACCCAGCTATGCACCCTGTGAGCCAAAACCAAAGAGCTGAGGATGGCTGTGCAGCTGAAGATGATTCAGAGCTTGTGGAGATGGTGTGGGGGAGTTTTTTGTGTTAAAGACTGACTGACTTGTTCATGTCCCAGTTTACTGTCTGTCCATCTGTCCCTGTCACCACCAAGGGTCGAAGGCCCAGTTCAGACCACCCTGTGGACTTAATTTTGTTGGAAGTAAACAGCAGTCTCATTAAATAAGCTTTCCTCCTGTTTCCAGGTGATGAGGGAGGTGTGTCTTAATGGAACTGCAGACCTGGATGGGTCAGGATCTGGATCACCTGTGTACAAAACTGAATTGGAGAAGGTAAATACAACACACACACATTTTTGACATATTTTAAAACAACTCCAGTTCAGAGAAGTTGGAATGTTGAGTAAAGACTGAAACAGAGTAAACAAATTTTCTATAGTAAAAAATGGCATTTTGACATTGGTGGCATCAAAATATTTTTAAAAAGTTGTTCAGGTTCAGGTTCTTCAGTCTAAACATCCAAGCCCTGAGGAGACCAGGTCTGGAGGTTTTGGATGGAATGTATGTTCATCAGGATTCTAATCCCCTTGACAAGGGAAATGTTAAACACACTGGTTGGAGCCCTAACTGGGCACAATCTGCTCAACTACCACAAAATGGTGATGGAACTCCATGACACTGGTCTGTGTGATGACTGTGGCATTGAATTAGAGACCTCTTTGCACTACTTAGGCCACGGCCTGGCTCTGAGCAGTCAAAAACTAATAATTCTTGGGGACGCCTTTATGGATCCCGAGAAGCTCTGAACACTGAGTCTTTTTTGGGGGGGAGCAATGGGCCCATTTATATGGTCCCTGCTTATATTGGATCTTTATCCATCACCACTTACCATAGCCATTCTAGCCATTCTATAGCCTTGGGTGTTTGCTGGATGTTTTGTTTCATGATGCATCACAGGTTTTTAGCTGCTGAGAGGCCTTCACTGAAAAATACCGATTGTTTTATATGGTAAATGGACTGTATTTACACAGCACCTGTCTATCCAACCAGGATACTCAAAGCTTTACAATCTGTCCTCATTTACCCATTCACACACATTTATTCAGCACTCAGCTAGATCTCTACAAAGCTAACATTTGCACATCATCCTTATGGAGACTAATCAGTACTTTAAATCTCATTCATACATGGATGGGATGCACATCAGCGGCTGTGGGGGTTCAGCGTCTGGCACAGGGACACTGTAGTGGGGAATCAAACCACCTACTGTCTGATTTAGAGAACAACTCCCCTAACCACTCAGCCACAGCTCCTCTAAGATTATTTTTATACCCAGTCCTCTAATAATTAATTTAGGTAGCTACAAAATGCTGTTTCTGTTCCACATTACTTTCTTTAGAACAGAGGCAACAAAAGGCTGCACATTTATTGTTTTGTTTTGCTACAATTTCTGAGTTAAATATGTTCTGTTTTTATTTTTCTATTGTGAGTAAAAGTTGGGATTATGAGTTTGCAGACGTGGGGTTGTATTTTTGATGCTTTATGTTCCTGTTGTGCTGTCAGAGAACTTCATGTGACAGACCGAGCTCAGATGGAGAGGCCAGCCATGAGAACGGCCACAGCGACAGTAAAGACCAAGGTGAGTGTTCTGCCAGAACACTTGTTCCATTCAGTTTCAGTGGCAGCATAATGTGGTTTGTTAGACCCTGTCTGCACTACAAATACTGTCGGTTTTAAAACTCGTTAAACCCAGTGTGTGCCATCAACACTTTACAACAACAATACTGCACATGAACAACATGTCACCGTAACAAAGCTTGGATAAAGATTATCCAAAAACTTGTATTTTCCTTTGAAAATGTGGACATTTTCCTCTCAGCTCTAAACCTTTTCAGCACATGATGAAAGTTAGATTTTCAACAGGACCAGGAGAAAGTCCGATGGATACTGTAGAAACAGTAAAGAATATTTTTTATTGTTTGTTTCATGAGAATCCTCTTGGAAGAGGGTTTTTTTAATAATATTTTCCCACTAGAACCTCCAGTCGAGGCAGAAGATGTTTTCAAATGGATCTGTTTTCATAGATTCATTACACAAAGAGTTAATTATGTTAAGTCTTTATTTCTTCTCGTTTGAATGATTAAGTCTCACACATAATGAAAAACAAAATGTCAGTATCTAAAAAAATGAGAATTTTGCATAAAGAACTTCTGGTTCTGAGACACTAAATTTTGTTTTTCATTATTTTTTAGTCATAATCATCAAAATTAGCAAAAATAAAGACTTTAAAATATTTCACTCTGTCTGTAGTGAATCTATGTAATACAGGTGCTGGTCATAAATTTAGAATAACATGAAAAAGTTGATGCATTTCAGTGATTGCATTCAAAAAGTGAAACTTGCAGATTATATTCATTCTTTACCAAATTGACACATTTCAAATGTTTACTTTTTCATTTTGATTATTTATATATATAT